GGTTGGGGGGAAGGGAATGAGAAAGCCTCTGCCGTACGGGGTCACTTGCTGCTGAATTTCCTTAGAGGTGGTATCAAGCTGCATCCTTGCAGGGGAACCCAGGAAAGCCATCATGTCGACTGGGGGTTTGGAGCAAAGTCTCCCATGTCATGGAAGAGTGCCCTAAACATGGGATTACAGAAATAGGCTCAGATGGGGTATTTAATCCTCTGGGTTTGGACCTGTTCTGCTTTACTTACTGGCATATCACAGAATCACAGACTGGTAGAATAATTCAGGTTAGAAGGGTCAGGCGGTCTGTAGTCCAATCTCCTGTTCAAATCAGGTCAGACAGGCCACTCAGGGCCTTGGAAACCTGTGGGGATTGAGACTACAGTAAACACTTGCGATGGACCTCAGCCTTGGTGAGGAAAGGCACAGTAATGGTTTTAAGTATTAAGGGATCATTTTATTTGTTAAGTACAGAAAAATATAAAAACTTCAGAGATACTTGTATGTATATTACTGTTACATAGGTGTTTTGTTATATACATATTCTATTATTGTATCTCCCATCAGCTTCAGAGAATTTACTCAGCATGTAAACAGCAGAGGCAGACCGTTGAACAACTGTGGGATTGATTCACTTCATCCACACATCTTTTTCTGTGTCGTAAAGGCTGGCCGAATGTAGAAACTTACACTTTCTGTTGCCAGATGCAGCACAGCTGGTTGGCTGTGCAGATAGGCTGCTGCCACACGATTTCCCTGGGTGCCAGCACAGGCTACAGATAGAAGGCCAGTTGTCGGGGCACTCATCTGCGGAGTGGGAAAGTTCATCTGTAGTTTCTGCCTCTGTGAACCAGCTTCACGAGAAAGTGGAACTTGGGATTCCTGATAAGCTAGTGCTCAGAGCGCTTCCCGAAAGGGGTTAACTCTAAATTTAACCAGCTACACCTGTGTAGAAGGTCTGATTTATTGGTGTTTGGATGAAATAGCAGCTCTTTCTCCATGACGTTGATGTGGCAGGCATGCTTTGAGTGAGTGAAGACGTCGTTACTATTTTTGAGTGATGTCAAGACTGGTTGTGAATGTGCACAGCAGCAGAAATTTGCCTGCTCAGCACCATATAGATGCTAACCCAGTGCCCAGGGCATTGCACGCACTGTCCGGGTTAGACAGGAGCAGAACTGAGAATTTAAATATCCACATTTTAGATGAATGGGTTATGTTAAGCACTTTTCAGCCTTCAAGTAAGTGATTAAATCTCATATACACAGAGTTCCTGTGCATTGCTCAACAGACCCTTTAAGCTGTTGCGGAACATTAGGTTCTCATCCCTCCCTACTTGAGTATGTCGTTTGATTTAAATACTGCACTGCTGTCCTCCACTGGTGCCTGAAATCCGTGACACACTCCCTTTAGTGGGGCTCAGACACAGGAATTTGCCTGGTTTAATCTAGTTTCAGGATCAAGGCTGTTAAGGAGGAGAACAGTCACAACCATTATCCAGAATATACTAGTTTTAAAAAAAAAATCAATGTGAAGAGACAGTCCTTTTTCTCTCTAATCATTCTGAACAGATGTTTAATTTTACGTATCGCAGGCTGGATGTGTGTGATGATAGCTTTTCTGTAATTGACAATCCTTTTGTAGCTTTTGTAAAAAGTTGTCATTCCAGAGGGGTGGGTGAAAGCCAGAGAATGATTTAATTCAGTGCTGAGGATGCTGATACTGTGGTGCTGTCTCCGTAGCCCTTCAAGCCTGGTGGTATTTCATCACCATTTCAGAAGATGTGCTATCAGAAAGACAGAATTCAGGAATAGGCCAAGTGCTCATTTAGGGCCCCAAATACAAAGAGGAGCCACTTGCTTCACCATAATTAGCAGACACCAGCCCTTTTCCTAATGCTGATTAGCCCTGGTGTCCCATCAGAGGGACTAAGTGAATTCCCTCCCCTCTTGCTCCTTTCTCTCTCCAATTAGCCCTTGTCCTGACTGTTTTGGGCAACTTGCCATGTTTAACCTTTCTGCTGTCCCCTCAGCCTGCCGCGCCAGGTGGCCCCACCGGCGTGGTTTACTCGCTGAGCACCACAGTACGTTGCAGACAGAAAAGCAGAGTTTGTTGAGAGCCACTTTGCCGAGTGCCTGCAGAAGCAGCTCACCTCCAAAGTACAAGCAAAGAACTGCCACTGTAAAGCTGATGGTGAGGAGGCAACTCCACTGCCAGACATCACTAATTACCAGCTCTCTGATCACCGGTGTATTTAAACACCTAAGATTCAAGCGACTTTATACCATGGGCATACGTACGTACGGGGTACATCACACGGCAGAGCATGACTCAGTGGTCCTCGGGTACAGCTCCAAGCTGGCCTGGTAGAGCCACCCAACCGAAGTGGTGCTCTAGGGAGAGCCTCGCTCCGTGGTGCAGGGGAGCTGGGCCATTGCTACTAGGAGATCTGAAATAATATGAAAACTTTGACATCACTGCAGGGCTGGTTTGCTGGGGTGCACTGGCACAGCAGGATCAGCATGTGCTCACCTATACTCCATGCTGCCCTCGAGAATTTTAATCTTCCCTGTGTCCAGATGATGTCCTGATGCATCCAGCACAAAGACGTGCTGCTTGTTCACTTTCAGTGCGATGGTTTCTTAGTGCAGCTTAGCTTTCCATTCCCTTTCAGCCTTCTTTACCTTGTCCTTTCCCACAGTGAAGTCCTCTGTTGTCCAGTTACCACATTATTTATGTGCTGAGAGCCCCTCAGTGGTGGCTTTTTGGGATAGGTCGCCCTTGAGTCAGGCATTGAATAAAATGAGGAGAAACCCCCCTGCCGGCAGGTCTCCCAGCTTCTGTATTTTGTTGGTCGACGGAAATTCTCCCACACTTTTACTTCTAGACATTGTAGGGCAAGACCCTGATAGCCTTACACTCGTAATGGGGGGACATCTATCTCATGGGTAGTTCCTCTCGCCTCCATCAAGCTATTGATGCAGTAAGCTGCAGCATGAGACAGGACACCCGCATCTCTCCTGCCTTTTTCTCTTCTTCGCTGCTGCTTTTTAGTTAAGAATGTAGTTTATTTGATAACTAACCTCTTTTATTCACCTGTTTGGGACTTCAGAAAAAAAAAAAAGCTGTTTTTTTCTGGCACGCATTTGCTTTGGTCAGCACGTTTTTGCAAACTTATACATGGCCATGTCTGTCTTGAGAAAATACCATTTCTCAGCTGGCCAGCAGAGAGAGCAGTCAGCATTCGGTGGACGTGCGGGTTGGGACGCTTGGCTAGAGGCGCTCCCCTGCAGGCTTGGCCCTGCCAGTAGCTGTTACAGTTAAAAAAAAATAATTCTGATGGCAGTGCAGAGGCGATCCGTATCTTACAAGCTTGGGGCTAAAGGGTTGTGTATTGCCCTTGGCTGCCTGAGCCTGTAATGTTGGTGCAAGTCCTTCCTGTGCATCAAGGACATCAGCAAACCACCTACCAGTTTTTGGGGATGGGTTCAGCATTCACAATCTCTACCAAAATGGGTGTGTGACACCTTAGAATACCAGACTAATTGCTTCGCTATCAATTTATGGACTTCAGAAGCTAAATTTAGGCACCTGGGATGCTGCAGTCTGATCTGCGCTGTTAAGGAGGCAGGGAGGCACTGGGGTGCATTTGTATGAACCAGATTCCAGGATGAGAGCCCCGGTCAGGACATTTTGACCTGCGTGGCCTCCTCTCCTCACCCCCTCGTCCAGCCAGAGCCTCGTGTGTGTTGCTCTCCAAACATCTTCTGTAAGCGGCCATCTCTGGGGTCCGCTTTTCTTTTGTTAGAATTACTTTGGTCCAAATTGTCTCGTTTTCCATAGTTTTTTCCCCTGCCTTTTCAGCAAACATGGGTTGTAGACTGAGCGACCTGAGAAAGTTGCACCAGGGAAGAGGAAGGAGGTGGGAAAATCCCACCGTATCCCTGCAGGAGTCACAGTTACCTCCCACCAGCTGCCTTGCAGAACCGTTACTGAGACACCGTCCGTGACCCGGGTGGTGGCTGTCCCCTGCGACGGGTGCGAGCCACGCTGCCGGAGGGCAGGACCTGCAGAGCATCGCTTCACGCGTCACCTGGCTGAGCAGATGGCTCCAGCTTTGGTGGGGTTGCCCTCCTGCGACACTGTGGATTCACAGGCTTGGAGAATCTCATCTCCTCTCGAGGTGAAACCTGTCTGGACATCTGTCCCTCTTCAGGTAATTACCTGCTCAGAAATTTGAGGGAGAGAATGCTGGTGATTGTCTTCTCCCTTCTGGCCTCCTCCTCATGCAGGAGTTGGGCCAGTTGAGGCCAAGGTTAATGAAGCATACCCAGGGAGCGAGTGTCTGGAGACATCTGCTGACGCTTGCTCAGCAGCTGCGCGCACCCTGCCCCGTGGAGCTCGGCTCTCGGTGAAGGTTCTCGTTTGTCATCATGGAGTCAGAAGCGAAGCACTCCACACAAATGCAGCCTTTCAACAAGTTAAGTGCTGCTGCAGTAGTGGTTCTGGAAAATCTCTCCAGTTTGACCTAAAATAAACAAATATGGTTGCTTAAGTATCCTCAATGTTTCCTTATACTTACAGTAGGAAATACCTTGGATACTGAGGGCAGCTAAAACAAATCTTACTTAGTTATCTAAGGCCTCTGGCAAGTCCCTGAGTTTCTGAGTGAGCTAAGCCACTTCCTAGGCATGAGGCGTACCGAGCTTTGTTTTATAGCGACACAAATAAGCATTCAAAGGACCTGAGCTGTGAACTGTCGCTCACAAAGTGGGAGTGAAGCAGCATTATTCACCTGAAGCTCATTTCGAGTGTCTGGCGCTGGTGCAGAGGGAGATGAGCAGGGTGTTTCCGACGAGCCGGATTCCTGACATTATATTACTTAAAAGCAGGAAGCGCTCATTTGGCCTGGTTCAGCGTCATACCGGCCTTCCCATGCAAGGCTATATCTGGAACCCAAACACTGCAATAAGGCAGGAATCATTATATGTTGGGTTTTTTTTTTAAACAGCCTACACAGTAAGAAGATGGTAGTTATCTCAGCCTTCCCTTCTTTTTAGTATGCAATTGTGGTACCGAGCTTTGTTTTATAGCGACACAAATAAGCATTCAAAGGACCTGAGCTGTGAACTGTCGCTCACAAAGTGGGAGTGAAGCAGCATTATTCACCTGAAGCTCATTTCGAGTGTCTGGCGCTGGTGCAGAGGGAGATGAGCAGGGTGTTTCCGACGAGCCGGATTCCTGACATTATATTACTTAAAAGCAGGAAGCGCTCATTTGGCCTGGTTCAGCGTCATACCGGCCTTCCCATGCAAGGCTATATCTGGAACCCAAACACTGCAATAAGGCAGGAATCATTATATGTTGGGTTTTTTTTTTAAACAGCCTACACAGTAAGAAGATGGTAGTTATCTCAGCCTTCCCTTCTTTTTAGTATGCAATTGTGGCGACGTGCTTCCCACCGTTTCAGCTTGGCTGCTGAAATGGCAACGCACCAGCTCCACGCTTGGAGCCATCCCGAGAAAATGTTCTGCTGCGGCTTTTAACCATTTAGCTGTAAAGCTCCCTCCGCTTCCACCGTTCTTAACTGCTGGGGTGAAGCAAGGGTTTCCAGTCCTTGTTTATAGCCAGTGTAATCGGTTCAGCTATTTATACTGTACTCATCACAGAGCCCTTTGCTGTATGAAATGGTCACAGTTATATTTATACCCGTGCAAAAACAAAGTCATCACAAATCAAGGAGGCGACATTCAGAGTATTTCTTCCTTTCTCCCTGGTGCCATTTCTTTGGCAATTCAAACTTTTTATCGGGCAAAATCACGCTCCTAGGAAGAAAATACAGCCCGCTGTAAGTCATGAATCCCACTGGCGCTTATCTGCACTTGATTTTTGTCTCGCATGAAGTAAATGCGACTATTTAGTCAAGTAGCTTCTACCCGCTGCTGCCTCGGTATGAAGGTGCGGCGCTGCCAGCAAAGTCCATAGAGCTGTCTTAGTACAGCTGAAAGCTGAGTTTGATCCGCTCTGCCAGAGGTACTAAAAATACCTTTTAATATGCTAAGGTGTGTGCCTGGCCAGAAGTTGTTTTCGAACGCATCTTCCATGGGGTTGCTACAAAGTAAAGGGAGCCCGACCAGCTCGTTCCTGAGATGTGAAATAAGCTGTGCTGGTAACGGCTGCGGGGGTCCGGCCCCTCTCCTGGCTGGGGGGTGCCAGCACGA